AGAAGAAGAAGAAGAAGAAGAAGAAGAAGAAGAAGAAGAAGAAGAAGAAGAAGAAGAAGAAGAAGATGGAGTCTGAAGAGAAGAAGAAGAAGAAGAAGAAGAAGAAGAAGAAGAAGAAGAAGAAGCCGAGGAGGAGAGAGAGAGAGAGAGGACTGGCGAGGGGAGGGAGGAGAGAGGCCTCCAACTCCCGATACCTCAGGCGGCGATGGCCGACGGTACACTCAGTCGCCGCTGCTGCTGCTCGCTCGCTGCTGCTCCTCGCTGCTCCTGCGCTAAGTTTAGCGCCAGCGCTGTATCGCGCTGTACCATACCGTACCGGTAGAATGCCGGTAGGTCGATAACCTCACTGAGGCTGGACCGGTACTTTTGTACCGGTGGGCAGAGGTCGGCCTCTATGCTGCGAGGCCTGACCGTGCCCTGAACCGTCCAGCCCCAACCGGCGGGCGGCAGCCTCCAGAGCGCCGCCAGGCCCAAACGTTAATATCGTTTGGGCCGGCCCGTCGGGTCTGGTCCAAGGTAAGGCCTTTACGGCCTGTAGTACCCCCAAGGTCGGGCCTTTGGCCCTACTGTGTCCCTCTACCCCTATGTCGGGTCCGGTAGGACCCGTGTGGCGTCGAAGATGTAACACTCTAGAGCCTGAAAAAGAGAGTATCAGACTGCAATGTGGTTCCCGCCAAAGTAAGGGGAACCAGTTGTCCTTGGAGGCCGTGCGGCCTGGGAGTCACGGCGCGAAGAGGCGCCAGTCCGGCATATCAAGAGAGGCAGCAGAGGCTTCAGCCTCATTCTCCCAGTTGCAAGCCGTGAGGCTGCTGGAGGCGCTCACCAGTTGGGTGATGTTCTAGTTGGAGGGAAAAAGCAGAGCTTGCCCCCCACCTCAGATATGGCAGAGGTGACCAAGGTGAAGGTCACAAGCGGTTAACAGGGACCCCTACTTTTCAGCCCTGGTTAACCCCTTCAACCCTGAAAAGTGCATTGGACATCATTTTTTTTTCTGATTTTTTTTTTTTGCCCTGTTTTATTTTTGGTCAAGGTCTGTGTGTGTCAAGTTTGGTGTTCGTTGGGGTCTTGGAGTTGACTGTTTTGGCTAGCCCTGAAAATCCTGAAAATCCTGAAAACTGTTGGGTTTTGTTATAAATGGCCTGACAAGTGGTCTGAAAATTGAGGCCTCCATTAACCGGCTCTCGTGAAGGTGGGGGAAGGCATGGCTATGGAGGAGGAGTGATGGAGGAGGAGGAAGGAAAAGGAGAAGGAGAAGGAGAAGGAGAAGGAGAAGGAGAAGGAGAAGGAAGAAGAAGAAGGGAAGGGCGAAGAAGGCAGCTTACATTGGCTATGGTGGTCTGCATTTTCATCATCTTGGTTGGCGCTGCACCTGGAAGGCTCCTAGTGAGGTGACACTTGGAAGAAAGACTCCGGGGTTGGAATGTGGCATAGCGGCCATAATGGGAGAGGCATCATAGCCTTGTGTCGTCATTTGAAAATAAGAGCTAGGCTCCAGTGTTCTGCCATAGCCACCGGCTTGACCAAGTCGTAGAAGGTGTAGAATGGCTATGGTGGACTTCTTGAGTGGCCAGCAGTAAGGCGAGGATTTGGACATCGATTCTGGTTCATTCGTTCGTTGTTGTTGTTATTATTATCATTAATCAATAAATTGCTGAGAGATATGTTGGAGGAGGGAGTTGGTGGCAAGATGAGGATGGAGTGAAGTTGGTTCTTGCTTGTGTTCATCTACTTCTTCTTCTTCGTCGTCTTCCATCCTCCATTCTTCTTCCTCCTTTGTCTATTTCTATTTCCAATCTCTTCATTTCAGGTGCAATTGAACGGCATTGCCTTTTTCTTTGAGTTGTGCTCTATGGAATATCCAGGATCGTAACATCTCCGAAAATAATTTGACCGAAAGGTCTGCAGACATGCACATTGCATATATAGGAACCAGGGAAAAGAAAATGAAAGAAAAGGACCTTTCAAAATAAATAAATATTAAATAATAAATACCACATAGAAAAGAACGAGGATACCGCAATGAAAAAAAAGAAGAAACAGTGGACGTGCAAAAAAAAAAAAAAAAAAAAAAAAAAAAAAAAAAAAAAAAAAGACACAGGATACGTAATTGGGGAGAATCTCCAAGACATATGCCATATGATTTTCTTGAATTTTTTCAAAATTTTTGTCACATTTTGTAAATTTGTAGATCTGTTAATCAATCTCTGTACACTTTTTGTTTTGTTTTGCTTTTCAGTAAAACTTCAATTAAATCACCACTTCCTTTGAGCCTAAGAGGTCAAACCTCTCCTCGACCCGACCCTACCCTCCTGACTCCTGAGCCATTGAGGGGTCACAAAGTCTACTGGGGGCCGCAGGCTTCGGTAGGCCAACAAGCCCAATGGAACCTGTATCCCCCCAGCCTCCCCACTTCCCCTTCCCCCCCCCCCTCTGTCAACCAGTGCAGGCCGTCGGAGGTGCACAAGGCAGTGGTGGTTAAGTTAAAATTCAACAAATAAATAAGTATATGACATTATTTGAAATACATAACAGCTAAAAATAACACCGCTACTCCCCTTTCCTGAAGATGTTTGAGAAAAACCTCCGTGGCGCTGATGCCACCTCCTCCACTTGATCGAACATCTGTTTGATGTCTGCATTCGGATCCTGGTCAGCAAGAAAGAAGTTCGAAGAACACGACGAGAGAGCACAGAGATGAGTGCAGCCGCGTGTGATGGTATAGCCTACTAAGTTACTAACCAGATATAATAAACTTGAAGTATGAAGAAGTCCTATACAGTTATATAAGCTTATGAAGGGTTTTCTTTTCTTAACATGAGAGCCGTACACTGGCATACAGGCAATAGCTAACGCGCCTTCGGCCTCAGTAAGGCACAAAGAAGTGCAAATCTTTGTTGTGGGTAGTACTTCTCAGTACTTTAAAGCATGAGACTTCACATGCAAGCGGTACTGTGAAGCCGAGTAGAAGAAGAGAGAGGAAGCGACGACTTGCAAAACAAAGTTTAGACTTTTTAAAATTTTGAAACTACAATAGGTTTTACGGAACTTTTACCTCTCCCATTCTCACTCTGTGCCTGCCTGTTCTCCCTTGCTTTCGTTTCTCGACTTATGCGTGTCATCCTTGATTGCGCAGGGGCCATGATAATCTTCTTTCTCTGTATCGTTCCAATTTTAACGGATGCCGCGAAGGACCCCTTGCCATTTTTGACCTATGTGAAAACTATGTTTGCTGGTGATAGGCAACCGGAGTGGAGCCCTCCAGAATAGAAGGGGCGAGTGTGTGAGCGCGTTAAGAAAAAGAAAAGAAAAGAAAAAAACACTAAAATAGTGAATGGAAATGGGTTTCACATCTCAGCGTCCAAGTTCCCCTTCTTGGTCTCGAAGGTTCCATAGGAATAGCACCCCTGGTAGGCTGTCTCTTATACACATCTAGATGTGTATAAGAGACAGCTCCAGAATAGAAGGGGCGAGTGTGTGAGCGCGTTAAGAAAAAGAAAAGAAAAGAAAAAAACACTAAAATAGTGAATGGAAATGGGTTTCACATCTCAGCGTCCAAGTTCCCCTTCTTGGTCTCGAAGGTTCCATAGGAATAGCACCCCTGGTAGGTGGGCAACTAGGTCTAGGCCCTGCCTTCTTCCCCCGAATAGAGGTAGGTCCGTAGGTCCAGTAGGCCCAGTTCACCCAGCAATCCAGTCGGTCAGTCCGCCGGGTCAGCAGCTCAGCCCCACGAAAGTCAGTGGACTCTAGGGAAGCATCGAAGTCCGGCTGCAACCGTCGAGTGCAGGTACTGGCCCGGGAAGTCCAAGATCAGGAACTGCAGTGCGGGATACAAAAGTCCACCTCCACAAAGCGTCAACATCAATTCCATTCGAGCTTGCTGCGAAAGCGCTGCTGCTGACTTGTCGGACCAAGCATCGAGTGAGGGCGAGTGTAGTAAGCAGAGAAGTGGATGGCACCTGGCGCCATAGCTGTTGGTTGAGGGAGAGAGAGATCGAAGCGTGCGGAAGACATTTAGATAGGGATAGCAAGGCCTGAGGGTAGTGTAGGATCATAAGAGAGAGAGAGAGAGAGAGAGAGAGAGAGAGAGAGAGAGAGAGAGAGAGAGAGAGAGAGAGAGAGAGAGAGAGAGAGNATAAGAGAGACAGAGAGAGAGAGAGAGAGAGAGAGAGAGAGACAGAGAGAGAGAGAGAGAGAGAGAGAGAGAGAGAGAGAGAGAGAGAGAGAGAGAGAGAGAAAGAGAGAGAGAGAGAGAGAGAGGGCTACAACCTGAGTGCTGTTGCTCGACGGCCATAGCCGCCTACCTTTGTACACATACAAATACCTGTGGCAAGACGTCTATTCCAGACAAGATCAAAGATCTCATATCTCGTGTTTTCTTTTTCTTTTTTTCCCGTCTTCTTTTTGAGAAACATCGGCAAAGTACCTGCTATGTGGAGCTGGTCCTTTTCAGCCGCCAATTGTAGGGCCATGATTTGTGATAGCTCCAGTCTATTGGTGGGGAGCTGTACCTGCTGGAAACCAGGTCCAGTGTCCACATGTTGTTTTCTGTCTCGGTTGCGCGCAATCATGTGATGTGACGTCTATCTGGTGCGAAGTATATGGGAAATGTGGGCTCGTTTCAATAGCTTCAAAAAAGGTGAAACCGGCAAACCGTACTAACATTATAGTACGATTATCCCATAGAGACCGAACATTCAAGAGAGCGTGCTGATTGACTAGTGAATTTTGAACTTCCAACTCTAAGGCGTTTCCAGCATACAGCGAAGTGATTGAACTCTCATGTTACCATGAGAGGGACCCATCTTGAGCCCACACAATAAATCCAAGAACTCCAACACAGGTCGCATTGGCGGAGATTTCACAATGGCCTGTGGAGTAATGGAAGTCTCCAAAGTTGACTTGCATCTACTTTATTAGAACAAAGAATTACAAATTATTATACCAAATTACAAGTGGATGAAATGAAATCGTTCGAGTGGTTTCGGTAGGAGATAGAATTGCACGGGTTTATGGATTAAACAAGATTCAAGCTGGAGAACTCCAATACTTATCATAGATAGGGGTCGGGAGTTGTGTTTTCCCGCCCTCCGAACCGCACGTGATAGTTTCCCATCATACGGCTCTCCGCCACGAATCATCRTTCGATAATGTTCTYGATAAACTAGTAGGTTTATATAGGACCACGCCCGTCTCAGCACATTGAAACTGTGGACCAAATTTCTTCAGCGTGCTTCTTTTGAACTTAGTGCGATATTTAAGCGCTAAGGTCAATGTGCGATATTTAAGCGCTAAGGTCAATGCACAAGATTGAATATTCCCTCATCGAATCGCTCCCCAAAACCACCTGGAATAGCTAAAATAGGATTCATCAACGCTAACGCGGCTAAATCCGCTATATATTTTAAACGATTTCAATATACTATTTATGCTTCCAAAATACAAAGTTGGACAAATCTGGAAACTTTAGGAAATCTACTTTATACCACGTATTTTTATTTGTTTCTGGTTTCAAGTCTTATTCTATTAGTGGCCATGATTGGAGCTATAGACATCTCCAATTACAAGAGGTAAAAACATGAAAAATTCTCTACTGTTCAAATCGGAGAGCTTATGAATGAAATACGACTTGAAATTTCCAAACACAACACGATTATAGAGCCAAATGGAATAAGCTGCTCGTAAAATCATTCCAATGGGTGCTACTTATTAAAACTGTTTCCATATCTTCTATCTACTTCTTTTCATAGTCTCTAAGGGATCCTCTTGCTAATATTTACCAAATCAACACAGGACTTCCCTTGGGATTGATCTATCCCAGTAATGTAAACCATACATGCAAGCGCACGTCGTGCGCTGATTTGCGGACCATTGGCGCTCAAGGGCACCCCAACGGAGCGGCGCACGACCTGCGCGGCGCACGAAGGCCCAGGCCAAAACTCAAAAAGAAAAAGTCGGAATGTCGATTCATCGCTGGTTCGGCCCCCCAGCAAAAATGGATTTGGGGCCCAATTTTTTTTTTTGCGGGTCCCGCTCCAGCGCGGCCTGAAACGATTTCGAATTTGATTTTCGGTGGGGGGGGACCTTTTTCATAGTTTTCGCAGGTAGAAACTGGCAGGGTTTCGGCGGGCCGTTTACTCGTTGATGCAGTCCCCTCCAGTCCACTTCGGGAAGCAGCGCCGTCAGTCCCCCGCTGTGAGCAGCGCCGACCTCCACCTGCATTTGCATCATCACCAAGGCTGAGCTCTGGAGCGACCATCGCCGACTTCAACCCTCCTCGAAGGTGAGTCTTCACCTGCCCTCCCCTGCCCTCCCTCGAACTCACCTCCTCCCCCTCCTCCTCCTCCTCCACATCTTCCCCTTCCTCCTCCTCCTCCTCCTCCTCCTCCTCCTCCTCCATCTCTCCTCCTCGTCTCGATATTGTCCTTTCCCTTTTTTTTTCCATAGTATCGGATGTTGTACTCGGAGCTTTGATAGTATCTCGGACTACATCCTCGTCTTCTTCGCCTCCTCCTCGTCACTTCCTCCTTCACCTCTCATCAGCCTCCCCTCCCTGTGTATCTTTCCTTCTCCTCCTCCACCTCCTGTCCTCCTCGGCCTCCTCCTTGTCAAGGTCTCGCCACCTTTTCTTGTGTGAACTTCGATTTGTGTTGGTATCACCTCCTCTACCCTTAGTCGTATATCTTTACTCGTCCTCCTCCTCCGTCCCTCCTCGTCCATCTTTCCTCCTCCATCTGTCCATGTCTTCTCCACCATCTCTCCATCTCTACTCTTCCAACTCTCATCCTCCTTGCCACGGCCTCGTCACTTTTTCTTTTTTCTTTTCTTAATGGAAACTTTGAAATTCGAACTGTGATGGTATCTCGTCATCTTCTGATGGTATCTCCTCCTCCTCCTCCTCCTCTGTCTCCTCCTCCTCCTCCTCCATCCCTCCTCGTACATCTTTCTTCCTCCATCTCTCCGTTTCTCCTCCTCCACCTCTCATCCTCCTTGTCACCGCCTCGCCACTTTTTTATTTTATTTTTTTAATGGAAACTTTGAAGTACGAACTGTGATGGTATTTCCTCGTCGTTGTCCTCCTCCATGTCTCCTCGTCCTTCTCCTCCATCCCTCCTCGTCCATCTTTCCTCCTCCATCTCTCCATCTCTCCTCCTCCATCTCTCCATCTCCCCTCCTCCCCCTCTCATCCTCCTTGTCACGGCCTCGTCATTTTATTTTTTTAAGGACACTTTGAAATTCGAACTGTGATGGTATCTCCTCCTCATCATCGTCGTCCTCCTCCTCCCCCATATCTCGTTGTCCTCCTCCTCCATCCCTCCTCGTCCATCTTTCCACCTCCATATCTCCATCTCCTCCTCCACTTCTCATCCTCCTCATCACGGTTTCATCACTTTTTTCTTTGTTTCTACTGGAAACTTCTAAGTTCGAACTTTGATGGTATTTCACCCTCCTTATCACGTCGTCGTCGTCCTTGTCCTCGTCCATTTCTCCTCCTCCTCCTCACCTCCTCCTTCTCATCCTCCTTCTCCATCTCATCTTCTTCTTGTCACACCCTCCTCACTTCGTTTCTTTTTTTTGAATGAAACTCTGAAAATCGAACTCCGATTGTATTTCCTCCTCCTTGTCACGCTGTCGTCGTCACTTCTTTT